GTGTATAGAATGGCACAGTGTATACACAGTCAGCTGGCGCACACGTGATAATAAAATAAATACGATATTTACTATATGGGGGCCGCCATCTTGAATGCAGCATAAAATTAAATAAGAGACAAGTTGTGAAACGTGTTTTTCAGATTTCTACAAATCAGGACAAAAATACCAATCTTTCACAAAAATAAGGTCCGTTTGAGTTATATTAAGCCAACCGATAACAAAATTCGGCCGAATTCGTCGTTTTTGTGTGGAAAAATCCCTCGCACACGTCACACGTAGTTCACTATGATGCATACATATATCAGGTGCGATTTCTACAGGTCATTGTCCTGCTTTACACCAGGATTTACATGCACCACGTGACAATACACAGCCCGTGATGGGGCTGGCTGCAGAGAAAAAAACACCAACCCAAAGCTCGCTATATTCGTATATATTCAATGGAATATTCTTTAAATATTAAAGTAATAGATCAATAGATCATACTATTTATGTTGTTGTTGAAAAATGCTATAGACTTTGCAGTACACTTCCAGTGCAATTCGTCATCAGTACGTCACGATTATTTCACTTATTACTATTTTCGCAGATGAATGAATCTGTTAAAAAAAATCAAGCGAAAATACATCTTTTCCTAATTTTACATTAAGCACATTAAAATATCAGTGAAAATAACCCTTTTTTTTAGCGAAAATGATTAATTCTAGCTAAAATACAGTAGTTTGCAATATTTGGTTGTTTACGCCATCGTTTCGAAAACTCGAGAAAAAAAGATTACTCATGCAATTGTAATCAAATGGAAGTTACTCCAGCTGTAGCCATAGTATGATGAGTCATGTACCAGTACACAAACTTTGTTGTGTATGCGATGTGAATAATTATCATAATTAGCTTAGAACTCATTGTGAATATCCTTCCGCGCATTGTCAAAACACATGCAATCAGATAGCCAATGGCAAAATATAAATAAACATGATCACGCATACACATACTATGTAATATTACTATTGCATCATCCGTGTTTAGGTCTATTTTAAATGTAATACATGAATACATTCAAGAACTATTTGAATACCTCGCGTATGAACACATCCAATCAGTGTGTGTGACTAGTATGGCTAACTGGTCGTATAGTATAAAAAGTGACACGGCACACTAACGTTATACTCCGAGTTGTTTTATTTATACTGATATCAAATATTATTTACGAGTCATCCGCTGCCGATCGGAACCCTACGATGGACAATACTTGCGTCGCTTACCCTACACCGGGAGTAGCCTATCCACAGGTTTGCTACCCTGAACCAGAAGTAAACCAGCCCATACTAAACCCCGTGAGTATATATCAATTTTTGCATCCACGATATTATTATAAGTGTATATGATATATATAATATATTTAATAGTAATTATATACAGTATAACATTCAGGATCCGGATCGCGCAGCTCAGGTGTTCATCGTCCTGAACACTGAGGGTGCCAGCAGAAGAAGTCTTGCGTATCACGGGTAAAATCCACTCAATAGAGTGGAGAAACCTCCCGTTATCCTGCACGTTGATGATGTAAATTAGAGTTCAATTTATGGTGAAAATGATGTGGGCAGTGATTTTTGAAGTAAATGTGGCGATTTATTGCACCTAAACCGTGCGCTAGCGGTAGAGAGTGTCGGATGTCCTAGCAACCCTCCAAGTTCTCATATACTACTCCTGACCTGTAGATTTTCCGTTGGAGTCATGTTCTCCTGTATTCCGGTGATCGTGGTTATGTAATTCTCGGGTTATTTTAAAACCTCAGCACAGCTACATGCAGAAAAGTAAGAACAGCATGCCACGCTCCATGCATATCCAGGAAGGACGGCGAAATAGCGCACTACAACTATATATCTTGCTATATGTTTTATTTGTTTGATTACAGTCCCTCTATCTGATAGAGGGACTGTGGTTTGATATAACTTTGGTTGGGCCATTGACTAATTGTACATCAAAGCGGACATTAATATAACATTTACTGCAACGTGGTGATAATAGAATATTTGAACAGCTTTAATATTCCAGTAATAATGGGGAGAGCACAGA